GTAAATATAGACGACCAACATTTATTGCTTGCAGTCATAACCTTTTGCCGCTTTGCAGAACTCTTGGCTAACTAGAACTGATTATGTCCCCCTATATCAGCATTTCAGATTTTATATTAGTATATACACAATACCAGTTAGAACTCAGTGAAACTGACTAGTATTTTGTTTGTTTATTAGAAGTAGTAGTGGCCCCGCCGTCGCTTTACATCCAACACGTACGACATGCACTAACTAAGAAGGTCGAAGTTGCGGGCCAGAACTGTTACAACGTGGCCAAGGGCGCTTTTACCGGGGAAATCAGGTTAGAGTTATTTTTTAACAGCGCGTGTTTGCCATGTAGATGCTTTCAGCCCGGCGATGTTGAAAGATGTCGGTTGCAGCTGGGTGATTCTTGGCCACTCGGAACGACGTCAGATTATCGGAGAATCTGATCAGGTGTGTAGCTTAGAAAGGCTTCGGATGTTCTGCTGGCAGTATGTATCAGTAACACCTGTTTCATGCTGGGAGCGACTAAATCTTATTTAGATTTTGACTGCAGAATTTAATGAAATAAAATAAGTTTTTATACAGGTAATTCATCTTTTGAAAATATCCGAGGTACTGATTAAAGTATATGATGTTTCGAGGAAGCTTTTACTTGAACGGGGTACTCTTTTGATTTTAAATTTCATGGATGATCTACTGAACTAAATGCCGTTTTTATGTAAATATGTTCAGTCCAGTTTATAGTTAAATTGTTTGAAATGTACTGATGAATGCGCCACCGCTGTCAAATCCGAAGCAGGACTCACATCGATCTTGCATCTCATTATGGTGAGCCATCTGCAGAAAGGTTGCAGCTTGATGAATTAGTCTCTTATTTTGGATGAGCGTTATTGGAACCGGATTTATGGCATGCGTTCTGAGGCGGATGCAGTTTTGTCAGGTTGTATGAAGGCAAATTTATTCTATTTTAAAGTACAGCACAATGAGAAAAACAAATAATACACATTGCTGGGTGCTGTAGCCATGCTGATGTACGTCTCTTCGCAAGCATTCATTCATTATGTTGCTTGTTTGTTCTGCTATTATGACTTCCAATATCCTTCTTTTTCTACAGTTTTTTCTTCGAATTATGTTGCTGAATTACTATTGCGTGACATGGTTCTTTACGATATTATGCTTTGTCACCGCTGAACCTTTAACCTCTGCTCTGCTTACGCAGACCATATGTTCCCGTTTTTGTGAAAGCCGGATTTGTGTAAACCCTTTACCTAAGAATTTTAAGGATATTTTACCATCTTCCAAGAGCAGAATAACAAATATCTCAATGAATAAAGTGAGAAGTTGTTCTGAACTTCATATTTTCTACTAAACGCGCAGAATAATTAAATTTAAAAATCTGTTGAAGATGAAGAAGATGAATCTGTTGAAATAAACTATTATTTGTAAACTTTAATCCACAACCAATGCTTCGATCGGTTTAGAAGCTTCCTTTGAATAGCAGTACTGGGAAATTTTTTGTCGCAATGTCCTAATGTCACTGAACTGGAAAGTTAGGTATCCTCCTTGGAATTTATTCTCTTCGAGTTCATAAAAATTAGTATTCTCTTGATTGTAGGGGAAAATTTAGCATTCAAATAGTTTTTTAAGTGTTCAATATCTTATATTTTCTATTTGTTTTATGTAATTGATGTAAAATTCTCAAAAACTAAGTTTTGTAGCCTTCACTTGCGTTGGAATTAATTTAAATTTTTCTACATTCATTCCACATAACTAAAGAATGATATAGATTCTGGTTTCCTGGTTGGCAGCACGAGAAACAGTTATTGCTTTAAAGTCATCGACGGCACGGTATCAGCGTGAGCCTTAGAAATTGCTATTTGAAATTTACGATATTCTCGAGCGAAATTAGTACTAGGTAGAGAATGGAGCAGAATAATGGTATTATTGATAAATCTCAATTTCATATTTGTTATCGCCAAGATAGCAGGAAGTATTTATTCATTGCGAAGAATCTTGTACCTTCAATCATTGTCAGTAGCGTGCCGACTCACTTTTAAACGAACAGTAACACAATATTTATTCTGATTATATAAGTATAACTAAAGCAGTTCATGTGAGCAGCATGAAGGAAATGTTGCTGCCATCGTCAGCTGACTTAACACTTGTTTGCAAACATGAGACATGACAGTAAATACATCAGATCCTTGTTGCAGTGCCATATGAACGAGGGATCTGTCTAAACTGCCTTAGAGGATCAGTGCTGTGGCGTGGTCCGTGTTTATAATTTATATACCGCTGTGGCTGTAATTTATATACCGCCTTTGCTAATCGTGCCCGGACGGCGTCCATGTTTGGGAAATCAGTCCACTATTAAAACCTCTCTACTTATTCTTATGTTCATGCCGTAATACAATGAATTATGAACACGACTTTCGAATTGGTTATGCTATTCGCTTAATCATCCTGGATTTAAAATAACAAATTGAGAATGCTGCTTT